CCCCCAGCATTGTCATCCTTGGTGGGACCACCCCCAGTATTGTTATCCTTAGTGGGATCACCCCCAGTGTTCTGGTTAATGGGAGGGTCATCAGCCTTAAGGTGTTCATCCGTATCTGAATCGCTATCTGTTTGATTAGTATTGTTGCGATGGCTGGATTCACCGAATTGATTGGACAGAGCCCGAATTTGTTGGTCATGCTCTTCCCTCATTCATAGCATAGCCATTTCCATTTCGATCTTGAATGCCTCTTTCTGCTTGGCCAAGGCATCCTCAACCATTTTGGCTACTCCTCGGTGTTAATCATAAACACTTCACGGGATTGTCCCGGACTGGATACCATATTATTAGAAGAGATTGCCGAGTTAGCATCCGATGCTTCATCATCCGAGGATAACCCTCTCTGTATTCTCTGATAATCCCTTTGTCTAATAGTTCCTGATCGTAACCAGGTTAGACGATGCGATACAAGCGGATCAGAGCTAGAAGGTCGAATTAATTTTCCCTTATCAACCATATTGATGGTAACCTCTGGGGGTTCGTCACTTTGAACGACTGATCGTTTCTTACGGAGATGCTTTGGATTGGACTTAGCCTTTCCGTTGGAGATCCTCTCAAATACCGAGACCCTCTGCGGAGCAGTCTTAGGGCAACTACACGCTGATAATACTGCACTGATAAATTTGGTACACGGACAGTAAGAATCCGTTTTCCAGGTACTTCTCTTTCGAGATTTACTCGTACCCCCAGCCCGATAGTACAACTCATCGACGTTGCGGTCAGAGCAACCTATCGGCTGTTTACATGAATTCTCAGGTATAACGCATTCTTCTGTCTGACGCGTTTTCATCTGAGTAAACATCGTCTTGTTGGCGTCTACAGGAGTCACACGCTTGGAATCACACCTTTGTGAGGGTGAAACCTTAACGGGCTTCTGGTTTTCTACACGCACCCCCAAGCGGGCTGTTGTAGAAATTAATTTGTTAGGAGGTCGCGTATGACCCCCAGTCCGGATGTTTGCTTGAAGCTCCTTTAACAGGCGCTTTTCCTCGATCCTCGGGTAGAGAACCGATGCGATCCTTTAATGGGACTCTAGATTTGGGAAGATTCACGCTGTCATTGGGCTTCACCGGAGGTGCGGGAGCAATAGGAGCGGGATCTGGAGTTGACAAAGGCCGAAGAGCAGCCTCGGATGCTTTTGCCTTAGGCGCTGATTTGGCCTTTGGCATCCAAACTTGCTTAGATCTTGGTGGCTTTTTGACTACATTTCCTTTCTATAACTCCTGTGCATTCCGTACAAGGATCCTCGTCTATGCTAACAGTGTGCGGTGCTTATGGATACGCTCCTCAAGAGTTGAACGAGTTCGTTTGACACGAACCCATTAACAGTGTGCGGTGCTTATGGATACGCTCCTCAAGAGTTGAACGAGTTCGTTTGACACGAACCCATTCATTAGTATGTGGTTGTGAGGAGGTTCCCAAAGCTGGTTGCTGGAACACTTTGCGCCTTCTGAGTTTCAGATCCGCATCATAGCAGATCCCGTCAACAGGCTCCAAAGCCTTGGCAAATTAACGCGCGAGATGTTGACGGCGCCTTTGACGAGCCCTCTTCGTCAGCACTGGTGCACTTTTAACGGGCAACTCTGTGACTTTCGAGGAGTTGTCACGAACGTTGGATCTGGTTTCTTTGGAAGGCGGAGAGGAATCTTCCACTGCATTCGGGTTCAGATCATCAGCCTTGTTTTTTTTATCTGAAGTCATGTTCTTCGCGGCAGCGGTTTTCCTGCGTTTGCAAGAGAGAGATATGGAGGAGGAGGAAATATATTCCTTGAATTTCTGCTGGTCGAATTCGTATTCGACCTCTTCGAACATCGGGATCTTGATCGTCGGCTGCGGCACGACAGCCTCGGCAGCGAGGCTGTTGGCTCCCACTGTGGTCGCCAGTTTGTTTGCGGTGAAAGATGATTTCTTCATTGCTGAATCTATTACACGTTTATCGATTACAGATTCAAAGTAAAATTAGTCTTTTTATAAGACTTTCTTACACAATGAAAAAAAATAAAAAAATACAACTCTCTTCAAACAAACGCAATGGGTGTTTATCGCCCGCTGCTTGCGTGGGATCTTGGCCTGTGACGGGGACGTTGATATCCGTGGACCACCGTCCATCAGATCTGATTGCTAAAAAATCGGGCAGAGCTTCGTTGATTCGCGAAGGAATCAAGAAACCGTAGCGCTTATCTTGGCATTGGCGAGATAATTGCTCTTCTTAAGATTATCGCAACGGGATAATCTTAAGGAACGAACCCGGGGAACTGTAGATCTGACGAGCTCCTCTTCTTTATGCCGACAAACTCGATCCGATCTCTCCTCCTCCTCTCTGAAATTCGTGCACTTTTGATCTTCAATCCGGCAGGGCTTCACCAACTCTCGAGAAATCCAGATCTCCAAAAAATGAAGTCCTGGGGCTGTATTTATAGGCTCCAGGAAGTCTTGACGGTTAAAACCGTATAACGACCTGTTTTTTAGGGCTGGAGACACCCTTGGGTGTCTCGGCCCTTGGGTGTTTCGGCGGGGTGTCTCGGCCTTGGCCGAGACACCTTGGGGTGTCTCGGTTGGGCCGAGACACCTCGGGGTGTCTCAACTCAGGCTGAGACGCTTCGTTTTGCACACTTGTCCGTTTCCGCTGTAACTTCTTTATCCGAACTCGAATTTGAGTGATTCAAAGTGCGTTGGAAAGCTGGCAATGAGTTCTATAAGCTCCGATGATTAGATCATTGTGGATTAAGCTGGGATATGAGCGGCGTTTCGCCTTTTGTAAGTGACGGGGGGCTCCCGATTAATTCGTGTCTTCATTATTCTGAAACTCCGTTACTTCACATAGTTCGTCGATTCACTTTAAGCGTTCGTCGACGTCAATCAAGCTTCTGTAACTTGGATAGTGACGTTCATCATCTTCTCTTAGCTTTGAGCTGCTTGTGGAGACCTATAGGCAATTTTCAACGCCTACACTTCTCCCATTGCCAATTAACTCCAAGTTGTAGAGAAAGAACCAAACTTTGATAGAAATTAAGAATTACCCAACTGAACCCTAGATCAGATTCCAAATAGATCTCATGTCCACACGAGGAAAGCGAAATCTTCAACGGCAACTCTCAATGCTATCTCCACTGAAGCCTAGAACTCCAAGAACCAAGCTTCAAACAAGAATCTTCCTCCACCTAATTCCAAAACCCTAGATCTAAAATCTGGGCTCTGATACCACTTATTACACACAGCGAAAATTTTGGCAACACATCAGCGCACAACAAGAGAGTTAGGTCGCAATAGGAATTCTCATTTCACAAAAAAAACAAGAACCTTAAGCAAAATATCTCAACAAAGTGGGATATCAGTTGCTCCTCTCATCAGTTCTAGGACTGACTTGTCGAGAGAACCTAAATAAACTATTATAAATCACACAAATAGCGAGACAACCAATTTTACATGGTTCGACAAATTGTCTACGTCCACGGGGAGAAGATGGGGAGATTTCACTAAATCAATAAGAGTACAAAGGGTTACAATCTCACAAAACTCACAAACTAACCCTCAACCAAAGCTCTCAACTTGCTCATAATATCTCCCTCTCACAATGCTCAAAAGTATCTCTAATCTCTGATTACAACTCTCCTCTCTTATTATGATTGATTCTAATCTCTATATATATAGAAAAACTAAAACCAAAACAGACTAGGAATCCTAAAACCAAAACAGAGTAGGAATCCTAAAATCAAAACAGACTAGGAATCCTAAAACCAAAAACAAAACAAATTAGGAATCATTATAACCTCATGTTACTAAAATAGATTAGGAATCCTAATAACCTCATGTTACAAAAATAGATTAGGAATACTGCTATCCAATAGTTTGAATGTTTATCCGTACATAGAGTCTCTCTTTGAATGAACACAGTAGAGTATGAAGTTTGAATATCTATCCGTACGTAATATACAGACATAGAGTCTCTCTCTCTCATTAAATCCTGCGTCTCAAGCTTGGTCTACAGGCCTCTTTGACTGCATAGAAGATGTCGGCAACCGTAATATTTGAACTCCTCATTACGTTTATTATTTTTATTTTTTATTTGTTTGATAATGAAGCCACCTCGAATCGATCCAATTGATGTGAGAGGCATATAAAACTTGCTGAAACCGTCCTGATTATCCACAGTAATCCAAATTATCCTTTCTTAGTACATAGGTTAATTACAAGTACGCCTTCTCCATATGATCTCATATGGGATTACAAGTCATGTTGATTACTCAGAATTTTGTTATTAGCATTTAGATAATGATGTCTAAATGGGGTTATATTTTTGTTACAACCACATTGATGTCACATGACAGCTATATGATAGAGGGTCTAAAGAATAGCAAATCTAGAAATTCATAAGAGGGACGTCACAATATATATAAAAAGATGATATCACTAAATATTCTCTCACATTGAAAATAATTTGGAACTTTAATGAGATACAAAAGATATTTAGCTAAATACAATTATAATTGATATGTACTTATCTTGATATTTTGAAAACGTGAAGTTGTTTCCTGAACCACTAAATACATCATTTTCAATACATATAACTCATGTATCCTTGTCTTTTTTTGCCCCTGATAGTATTTATTGCTCATTGATATGTGACGAATTGAGCCATTTAAGTTTATATTCTAGGGTTACTTTATTTTTAGGTATGGGCCATTAAAAGTTGATGGGTCACTACGTAATATCCAAATTATTAGGAGTGTCACTTTGTTTTAAAGCTCACGTAGGACTCATTAATTTTGGGATTGAGGGTGGGAGTCACTTTGTTTTAAACGCCACCCTCAGTATGTTGGATCCGCCCCCAGGTCTAAATGCTAACAAAAAGATTATGGGTAAATAAGTGCCTAACGTCCTAGAACAGAGGGTTCGTATGAAAATAGCTCTACTAACATTACTCGTGGTATATACGTAGTATGACTTGCTGGTGCACGTTTGTTACTTTCGGTCAAATTGCAGACATCGTCCACAGAGCTTCGCCCTGTATGTTTCAAATCGATATCATTACTCATATATGCTTCAATTAATTTGCATATTTAGGTAAGTTTTGATGATAAAAATTTGTGCGAAAAACTGCAGCTTGTGGAACGAGTGGAGCTCTGTATGTGCTAATATTATGTCTTACAGGTTGCCAGTGCGTTTACTCGTCCTTCTATCAACCTAAACTCCGAATGCGGTATGGTTTCCCTGAGAGCCCTTCTTCTGATTTACTCGTTCATTCTTGCTTAGAACCTTCTGCTCTCTGTCAGTTATATCGAGACTTGAAGAATCGCGGTTGTGACACGTCCATAGGTAAAGCTTTTCACTCCGCCTCTACAGAACCAAATTTAACCCAAAAGTTTAAGCTGTCTTACGCCATTAGATCTTGATACCACTCTTTAAAAATACTCGATACTTTCAGGGACTAAAACAAATGACAGGGGTAAAAAAATTTAATCCGTGTTAGATATATTGAAAATATCTTCCCTTTCTTGTTATATTACAATGAGATTACATGTCTATATATACATACATCAACCAGCTATAAAGGAAAGAAATAGAAAGGAAGAAAATCAATGGGAAATCAATGGGCAATCCCAAATATATTGCACAATCAATGGGGAATCAATGGGCAATCCCAAATATACGTGAACAATCTTTAACAAGTAAATGAAATAAATTATACCGCGTAATCCCTTCCTTATTATCTGGGAGCAGAAACTTTAAGAGATGTGAGCTCAAATAATCGTCCCACCTTGCGCCCCGTGCCAATTATCTGTCCCGTTTGAAGATCCTGAACCTGACAACCATGGGGAGAGAAAAGAACAGTTAGACCAAGATCACATAATTGACCAACCGAGGCTAAGTTTAGGGATAATTTAGGGACACAATAAGTATCAGGAAGGTTTAGATTAGAGGTAGCTGCTGTTCCAATATGGGTAATAGACATACAATTACCATCAGCAGTTTGAATGGGTGGCAGAAATTTGCTAGAAGTTTTATTAGATAAGAGAGACATTTGAGAAGTCATATGATTGCAACAAGCAGAGTCAAGAAACCAAGAATCACCTGCAGTGACAGCTAATGCAGTGGAAGATGAAGGATTGGAGGATATCACCTGTTTGAGAAGAGCTTCGAGATCGCTAACAGTAAGAACAGAGGAAGGGGACTCATCAGAAGGAGCAGTAACAGCAGCAGCAGAAGAACTAGCCTTAGAGAAAAACTTAGATTTTGTTGAAGTGCCTTGAGGACGAGGTGGACGGGTTGGACAATTTTCCAAAATATGACCATGTTTGTGACAGTATCTGCACTCAATAGTAGGGCAATTTGCAAATGTATGTCCAGTATTTCTACAATTCTTGCACAAAAATGAGCCAGATGCAGAACGTGGCCGAGTGATAGCAAGAGCAACTTCCGGTGAGGGAGATTTGATCAAACCAAGACGTGTTTCCTCAAATAAGATTTCTTTAACAGCAGCATCCAAAGAGGGTAAAGGATCACGATGCAACAGAGCAGCACGAACAGATTCATATTCAGGACGTAGAGCCATGAGAACCTGAATAAGGCGAAGATGATCATCACTGATATTAGCTTGTGCTAATTGATTCCATATAGGCTGAATGACAGCAAGGAAGTCATTAACAGATTGTCCGGAGTCTTGTTTAAGACTGGCAAGAGTTGTGAGCAGTTGATAATAGTGTGCAAGACCTGTAGTTTTGTACCGATTGGACAAGAAATCCCAAATTTCTTTTGCAGTATCAAAATCAGCAAACTGGATATGAATGGCTGAAATAGAGGTGTTACATAACCAGGTAATTATCTGATGATTTTTGCTATCCCAATCTTCAAGACGTTCTGCATACTTGGTATTGTTTTCATCAGCATCTCGGACTGGTTCAACAACATCGCCAGTAATAATACGCCAAAGCTTGCGTCCAATTAAGAAGCTTTTCATTCGTTGAGACCATAGAGTATAATTAGAGCCATCCAAAATAACAGTAATAGGACGAAAGATTTCAGATTTCTCCATATCAACAAACCCCAAAGAAGAACCAAACATAAGAGAACTAAAACCCACAAAAGTCACACTTTTATGTATGACAGTTGAGAAGGAGAGCAGATCTGATCGGTTCTGGGCGACGGGAAGCGAGGATCTGACCGGAGGAGGCGACGGAAGGCGCGGATCTGGACGAAAAAGTTCGCTGGCGACCGGTTGAGCGGCGAAGCCCTGTCTGGAGGAGGAAGCTCGGTTCTTGGCGGCGGATCTGGTCGGCGCAGGGGCTGCTGGAAGCGTGGCCCGTCGGAGGAGGTGAGGGTGGCGCTGTTCTTGAGTCTGGAGCTCGGCTTGGAGGAGGTTGCTGACGAGCGGATCACGAGAGGCAGAGGCGGGATCGGGTTCGAGCTCGGCTTGGAGGAGGTGGCTGACGAGCGGATCACGAGAGGCAGAGGCGGGGTCGGGTTCGAGCTCGGTGGTGGTCGAACGGAGGTCTCGGCGGTCGGGCGGCGGTTCGCCGGCGACGCGAAGAGGGCACGAGAGGAGAGAGAGAAGATAGAGGTTGGTGATCTGATTTAAGAGCAGAGCTCTGATACCATGTTAGATATATTGAAAATATCTTCCCTTTCTTGTTATATTACAATGAGATTACATGTCTATATATACATACATCAACCAGCTATAAAGGAAAGAAATAAAAAGGAAGAAAATCAATGGGAAATCAATGGGCAATCCCAAATATATTGCACAATCAATGGGGAATCAATGGGCAATCCCAAATATATTGCACAATCAATGGGAAATCAATGGGCAATCCCAAATATACGTTAACAATCCGAAAGCTAAAATTATATATGTGTGTATGTGACTTTCTATTTAATTATGTTACTCTTCATTCTTTCCAGTACAAAGCACACCTGTATATGAATTGAAACTTATAAGAATAGAAACTATGATTACTAGGGAATAAAGTTGTAACCATCAATTCTATCATAATATCAGAGTTAATTTGCTGCCACTGGAAGGAATATTAAAATGGTATTGATAGGATAGTTAAGAGAAATTAAGATGACATACAAAACATGTTTGAAAATTTAGTAAGGGGGACAAAAAGGAATTTATTTCACCCCATTTGAAAAGTTAAAAAAACTATGCTCTGTTTGGATGGGAGTGAATGAGGGATAGGGAAGAAAGTTAAATGAATTCACCTTGCTTGGGAGTTTTTTTAGGGAATGGAGGGAAAGGGAGATAACAAAACTTCCATTCCATATATAATTTGGTTTCCCCAAAATTGGGTTGTAGAGGGAGTAAATTATTTTGGACCGTCATGATACAAATCTGACGGCTAAGAAATAATTCCCCTCAATTCCCTTTACTAAACTCTCAAACATGATTATTTCATTTCCCCTCCTCTTACTTTCCTTACATTGTTTCGTGTTCCCTTCTTTCTCTTCCTCTCCATTAGCAAACTCCCAAACATAGCATAAGGGAATATAAGGAAATAACCTTGCATATTATTTCATCCATTTGGATCTTATTTTGATAAAAGGGTAAAATCATCTATGTATACTATTCATTTTTTACGAGTTCCTTCCCCTCCATTGCACGGGAAACAAAAACTCAAATTTTTTCCCCTTAAGTTATCTTAACTTCCCCCCAATATCTATCTCAAATGAATTTCCAAACAGGGCTAATGTGTACAGGTCCCTAACTTCTGTTACCTCACATTAACCATAATCCA